GTCCACAGGTTCTGGAGGTTGTTCTCATCAAACTGGTTCCCAATCCTGCCTGTACATCTGATTGACAAGAGCTGACCATAGTCATATTGGATCCTGTCAGGAGTAGGGAACATCTCTATCTGCTCTGGGTAGGCTGTAAGAAAGTATATAGATATTGTCTGTCACCATTTGGGGCAATCGGCGTAGAAGAATGCCGATATTAACAGTACAATTACACTTATAAATGCTGTATAAGACTGTAATGGGAATTGTTTAAATGGTGTATAGATATCCAGTTAATTTGCATGGTGACCCTTATTCGATTGTTTAAATGCATTCAATATAAAAATTGTAACTCATATGCTGTCAACACTTATATTTAGAAACAGGCAATAAGTTTACACATTAAGAATATATCACACTGACCCAAACTCACAGCTAACAGGGCAGGTATACAAGACACATGAGATGACTTGAGAAATACACTAAAAAATATAATTAAGCAATTTAAATGTCAAATATAAATGTCTTATATATATATTCTAATTTCTTCGCACATATACACATACGCACACACACACACACATATATATATATATATATATATACGCACAAAATGTCCAAAGTAGTACAGGTGTTCAGTCATAAATATTGCATAGATAAATAAAAACAGAATGCCGTTTTCTCCAACATGTTTTAGTTCTTTACTCTTCTATTGTACAATCTCCTGAAGAGTAAAGAACGAAAGTTGGAGAAAAGCGGCATTCTGTTTTTATTTATCTATGCTATATATATATATATATACCGTTTAATTACATTATATATCTATCTAATATATATCGATATATACCGCTGACATACAACTTCATCTGCATAACTCTCTTAAAATATAGTCCTGATTTAGATCAGGTCACAAACGATCTCTTCCAATTGTAATTATAGTCTTCCTTTTTGAATCTTTGTCGTCCTGGTATATAAAACTTAAATGCATTTGAGTAGAACATGAAGCTGTTCATAGGAGAGAATGTAACAGGTTTATTGTGAAATATGTATATGTGTGTGTCTCAAGGACAGAGACGTTTCAGATTTAGTAGATATTAACATTACACACTTCCAGCTGTGATGTTTATAGTTGCCTCATCATTTCCATCTGTGCCAACCAAGTGTAAAGTTTTGCAGTAGTATGTAGAAGCAGCATCAGCACATCTCAGATCTGTCAGGATGAACTGTATGTTGCCTGTTGCTCCACTGATAGAACCCGAGGCTGTCATCCGCTGCTGTAGACCTGTGTCCACTACTTGAACTGACGAATCTGTGTTGGTCATTCGTATTATAGTGTGATCAGTGCCAGTAGAAGACTTCTTGCCAATCTCCATGCCATACACTGTAGTTATCCCAGGTGCATTTGGCCTGCACCCGACAGTCAACTGAGATGTTGGGTTTCTGCCCCCGATTGTTATTTGGCTTGGTGAAGCGGTCAGGCTTGCCCCAGTGGCTGAAAAACACCCAAGTACTTGAATTTACATCAATTCAATAACAAGGACGATTTATTCATTCATATAAATATGTGCCATGAAAATATATACTGTATAGCATAGTAGCGTAGCGTAGCAGGGCTTGTGAAGGGCTGCGGCGATGATGACTGATTCCTAATATAGAACTTTTAAGTAACGTGTTTCAGTTTAAAAGCACACATGTTGAAATCTGATATTTGTGAAACAGATTCGATTTTCTTTGAGGGTGTACACAAGTGAATATAATCACAATGGAAAACTCTTCTCTTCTTCTACATCAGCACCGACTGATCAAGCATTTTATAGAAGCTTCCGTAAAGATTTATTTAGACCAAGTGCAGCAATTACGTAACAACCAGACTTCAACATATTTCATCCGGGCCATATCAAATCTCGTTAGAGGACTGTGAGCTGAGCACACTGCCCTTCCTTCATAAATATATATGGAAATGTTCTTGAAGCACATACTCCCAGGTCCTAAACATATCCCTTCTTGGGTCCCTGGAAATAGTGATCAGTCACCTATATCCCATTTTCATCATTCTGCCCAACTCAGGAAGATCAATCGATGACCATGGCCGTTTCCATGAGACTTCCTTACACTGATCTTTCTCAGTGCTTCAGTCACTGAATCCCAGGCCCTGACTCAGTTACTTACAGGCCAAATTCATGTGCAAAGTATCCTTCCTTGACATCTGTATGATGGACAGAACACATTAGAGTCCGTCAACCAAAGAAGCTTAAAAGTACCCTCTGTATACCTTACGATGAATATATCTATACCGAATGCTAACATTAACAATACAACCAGTTAAGCTCAAATACAGGTTTGCTATCCGAATGACAAGTAAAGAAGACGAAACATAAAAGTGGATGTGGGATTGTAATCAGAATGCTGGGGCAGACTGATGGTCAAAAAAGCGATGGGAGAATACCACTGGGCTAAGTGTATGCTTTCAAAATGTCAGTAATGTGTATAGCTACCCTTGACGGAAATGTGCCACGGATTGTCGATGTCATTGAATGTCCAGACAATTATGCCAGAATTATATATGCTTTTATAGTGCTGTGGTATATCATTAATAGGCAAGACATTTCTGAAATTTACGCTCTTGATAAATATGTAAATTAACCAGTTGTACAAAACTCACTACTTGCAGGCTTTGCGGAAGGAGTTTTTGGTTGTTGTTGACCTGAAACAAATACGTAGCAGTTAGGAAGTAGACCTGATCCTTTCGTTTCTGTTGCTTTCCTGCTAACATGCATGAGATACGCTGCTAACATAATGGTTCATATGTATAACACATTTACAATACAGACCAGATAGGCGACTTCTTTTGTTGATATGACAGTCAGAAGAGAACTGAAAGCTGGTTCTAGATGATTTTGAAAGCGGTGTGACTATTGCAAAAGAGTTAGCTGTAACATGTTTCCTGCAAAATTTGATCGGTAGTGTACCTAGGCGCATTCAGTCGTGTATTGTAGGGCAAGGAGGTCCCACAAAGTACTGAAAAGACACTTAGACTGTAAGAGAATCATATCTTAACATATTCAGTTAAGTAAAGCTTCTATAGTTCATATAAATGTATTCGATATTTGCTGAAACAACTTTCTCAATAATTTATAGACCCGTGAAGGTCCGGGTTAGAATATTGATCTTCAGTCACCCATGCTTGTCGTCAGAGGCGACTAACAGGATCGGGTGGTCAGGTTCGTTGACTTGGTTGACACATGTATGTCATTGGTTCCCAATTGCGCAGATCGATGCTCATGCTGTTGATCACTGGATTTTCTGGTCCAGGCTCGATTATTTACAGACCTCCGCTATATAGCTGGAATATTGCTGAGTGCGGCATAAAACTAAACTCATTCATTCACTCAGTGATTTATAGGAATACTATAAGTTCATCTGCCTAACACTCATAAAATATAGGCCTGATGTGTATAAGATCACAAACGATCTCTTCCAATTGTAATTATAGCCTTCCTTTTTGAATGTTTGTCGTCCTGGTATTAAAAGCTTAAATGCATTTGCGTAGAACATAAAGCTGTTCATAGGAAGGTTTATTAGATTTGGACAATTAGTGTGATCGTCGATGTAAACTTATACCCACCCTTGCTTTCTTTCAATTATACAAAATTCATCACCTGTATTCTGTCCGGGGGCGCCTGTTACTCCACCTGGTGGTGCTTGACCTAAGAAAAGACATAAAGCAGTTCGGAGGTAGTCGTGATCCTTTGTTTCTGTCGTTGTCTTGCTGACATGCATGGAGTACCCGGCTGACATACAGGTTTTATCCACATGACACTAATATAGGCTTGATTTAAATAAGGTCGACAAACGATACATTTGACTAGATTATGAAGCTCTTCATGGGATAGAATATCTAACAGGTTTAAAATGATATTTTCACGATAAATCAGAAACCTAACTCCCTGTTATGAGTAAACCTTGTAATTTGTAGGTAAATTCAACTACAATGTAAAAAATCGATATTATTTCCTAATTAGGACTTAGTATCTAGTATAATATATTTTCTATGTGACCCTAATACGCTTCAGTAACTCCCCGTTATCCGCAAACGTTGTAGTTTGTAGGTAAAGTCAACTACAATATAAAATCGAACAATCCCAAAAAGTTAAATCTTACCAAGTACATAAACAGTCTTGTTTGCACTATAGTCTGCACTTAGGACAGAACACCTGAACTGTCTTCCACTGTCTAGATACGAGACTGTGTGAACCAGTGTTGACGCCCCTGTATATTGACATTCCGCTACTGAAGTAGGACGGTCGTAGGTGATGTTTTGGTCGTTGGGGTACCGTGTCCAGGTGGTGAACTCGCTGTTTACAGATCGCCACTCCCATGTCCACAGGTTCTGGAGGTTGTTCTCATCAAACTGGTTCCCAATCCTGCCTGTACATCTGATTGACAAGAGCTGACCATAGTCATATTGGATCCTGTCAGGAGTAGGGAACATCTCTATCTGCTCTGGGTAGGCTGTAAGAAAGTATATAGATATTGTCTGTCACCATTTGGGGCAATCGGCGTAGAAGAATGCCGATATTAACAGTACAATTACACTTATAAATGCTGTATAAGACTGTAATGGGAATTGTTTAAATGGTGTATAGATATCCAGTTAATTTGCATGAGTGACCCCTTATTCGATTGTTTAAATGCATTCAATATAAAAATTGTAACTCATATGCTGTCAACACTTATATTTAGAAACAGGCAATAAGTTTACACATTAAGAATATATCACACTGACCCAAACTCACAGCTAACAGGGCAGGTATACAAGGCACATGAGATGACTTGAGAAATACACTAAAAAATATAATTAAGCAATTTAAATGTCAAATATAAATGTCTTATATATATATTCTAATTTCTTCGCACATATACACATACGCTTTTACACACACACATATATATATATATATATATACGCACAAAATGTCCAAAGTAGTACAGGTGTTCAGTCATAAATATTGCATAGATAAATAAAACAGAATGCCGTTTTCTCCAACATGTTTCGTTCTTTACTCTTCTATTGTACAATCTCCTGAAGAGTAAAGAACGAAACATATGGAGAAAACGGCATTCTGTTTTTATTTATCTATGCAATATATATATATATATATATACCGTTTAATTACATTATATATCTATCTAATATATATCGATATATACCGCTGACATACAACTTCATCTGCATAACTCTCTTAAAATATAGTCCTGATTTAGATCAGGTCACAAACGATCTCTTCCAATTGTAATTATAGTCTTCCTTTTGAATCTTTGTCGTCCTGGTATATAAAACTTAAATGCATTTGAGTAGAGAACATGAAGCTGTTCATAGGAGAGAATGTAACAGGTTTATTGTGAAATATGTATATGTGTGTGTCTCAAGGACAGAGACGTTTCAGATTTAGTAGATATTAACATTACACACTTCCAGCTGTGATGTTTATAGTTGCCTCATCATTTCCATCTGTGCCAACCAAGTGTAAAGTTTTGCAGTAGTATGTAGAAGCAGCATCAGCACATCTCAGATCTGTCAGGATGAACTGTATGTTGCCTGTTGCTCCACTGATAGAACCCGAGGCTGTCATCCGCTGCTGTAGACCTGTGTCCACTACTTGAACTGACGAATCTGTGTTGGTCATTCGTATTATAGTGTGATCAGTGCCAGTAGAAGACTTCTTGCCAATCTCCATGCCATACACTGTAGTTATCCCAGGTGCATTTGGCCTGCACCCGACAGTCAACTGAGATGTTGGGTTTCTGCCCCCGATTGTTATTTGGCTTGGTGAAGCGGTCAGGCTTGCCCCAGTGGCTGAAAAACACCCAAGTACTTGAATTTACATCAATTCAATAACAAGGACGATTTATTCATTCATATAAATATGTGCCATGAAAATATATACTGTATAGCATAGTAGCGTAGCGTAGCAGGGCTTGTGAAGGGCTGCGGCGATGATGACTGATTCCTAATATAGAACTTTTAAGTAACGTGTTTCAGTTTAAAGCACACATGTTGAAATCTGATATTTGTGAAACAGATTCGATTTTCTTTGAGGGTGTACACAAGTGAATATAATCACAATGGAAAACTCTTCTCTTCTTCTACATCAGCACCGACTGATCAAGCATTTTATAGAAGCTTCCGTAAAGATTTATTTAGACCAAGTGCAGCAATTACGTAACGACCAGACTTCAACATATTTCATCCGGGCCATATCAAATCTCGTTAGAGGACTGTGAGCTGAGCACACTGCCCTTCCTTCATAAATATATATGGAAATGTTCTTGAAGCACATACTCCCAGGTCCTAAACATATCCCTTCTTGGGTCCCTGGAAATAGTGATCAGTCACCTATATCCCATTTTCATCATTCTGCCCAACTCAGGAAGATCAATCGATGACCATGGCCGTTTCCATGAGACTTCCTTACACTGATCTTTCTCAGTGCTTCAGTCACTGAATCCCCAGGCCCTGACTCAGTTACTTACAGGCCAAATTCATGTGCAAAGTATCCTTCCTTGACATCTGTATGATGGACAGAACACATTAGAGTCCGTCAACCAAAGAAGCTTAAGTACCCTCTGTATACCTTACGATGAATATATCTATACCGAATGCTAACATTAACAATACAACCAGTTAAGCTCAAATACAGGTTTGCTATCCGAATGACAAGTAAAGAAGACGAAACATAAAAGTGGATGTGGGATTGTAATCAGAATGCTGGGGCAGACTGATGGTCAAAAAAGCGATGGGAGAATACCACTGGGCTAAGTGTATGCTTTCAAAATGTCAGTAATGTGTATAGCTACCCTTGACGGAAATGTGCCACGGATTGTCGATGTCATTGAATGTCCAGACAATTATGCCAGAATTATATATGCTTTTATAGTGCTGTGGTATATCATTAATAGGCAAGACATTTCTGAAATTTACGCTCTTGATAAATATGTAAATTAACCAGTTGTACAAAACTCACTACTTGCAGGCTTTGCGGAAGGAGTTTTTGGTTGTTGTTGACCTGAAACAAATACGTAGCAGTTAGGAAGTAGACCTGATCCTTTCGTTTCTGTTGCTTTCCTGCTAACATGCATGAGATACGCTGCTAACATAATGGTTCATATGTATAACACATTTACAATACAGACTAGATTCGGATAAGGTCACAGACGATTTCTTCCCATTGTAATTACAGCATTCCTGCGTGAGTGTTTGTCGTCCTGGTATTATGTGTTAAATGTATTTGAGTAGAACAGCAAGCTGATTGTATATATAGAAGATACAACAGGAACTGCATTCGACCCGGAACAGCAATCACAAGCTTTTCGGTCCAATAAAAAATACACGAATGCCGTTAAAGAAGGATAATGTCGTTTATAGTCAGACGATGACGCTTTGACACCAAAATGTCAATAATGTGATATGGCCACCATTGTCTGAAATATGTGCCAGGGTGACAGCTTTAGCGTGATCGTAGATGTAATCTTATATAACCTGCTCTTGCGTTTTTTGAATTATACAAAATTCACCACTTTCGGGATGAGATGATAGTTCTGGTTCTGCGTCACCTGACAAAAGATGTAAATCAGTTAGGAGATAGTTCTGATCCCTTGTTTTTGCCTTTTTTCCTGCTAACATGAATGGTGTACCCGCTGACATATAGTTTTCTCAGGAATTATTGAGAAAGTCTTTGTTTCCAAACACTGAGCATAGCATTTAACAATAGGTGTTACATTATGTAGTAAGGTACTCATGATAGGAGGCAACTCTTGTAGGCTTAGTAATGGACCTAAATACATCGAGAGTTATCTCCCCTGGTGTAACAGGCGACTTCTTTTGTTGATATGACAGTCAGAAGAGAACTGAAAGCTGGTTCTAGATGATTTTGAAAGCGGTGTGACTATTGCAAAAGAGTTAGCTGTAACATGTTTCCTGCAAAATTTGATCGGTAGTGTACCTAGGCGCATTCAGTCGTGTATTGTAGGGCAAGGAGGTCCCACAAAGTACTGAAAAGACACTTAGACTGTAAGAGAATCATATCTTAACATATTCAGTTAAGTAAAGCTTCTATAGTTCATATAAATGTATTCGATATTTGCTGAAACAACTTTCTCAATAATTTATAGACCCGTGAAGGTCCGGGTTAGAATATTGATCTTCAGTCACCCATGCTTGTCGTCAGAGGCGACTAACAGGATCGGTGGTCAGGTTCGTTGACTTGGTTGACACATGTATGTCATTGGTTCCCAATTGCGCAGATCGATGCTCATGCTGTTGATCACTGGATTTTCTGGTCCAGGCTCGATTATTTACAGACCTCCGCTATATAGCTGGAATATTGCTGAGTGCGGCATAAAACTAAACTCATTCATTCACTCAGTGATTTATAGGAATACTATAAGTTCATCTGCCTTACACTCATAAAATATAGGCCTGATGTATAAGATCACAAACGATCTCTTCCAATTGTAATTATAGCCTTCCTTTTTGAATGTTTGTCGTCCTGGTATTAAAAGCTTAAATGCATTTGCGTAGAACATAAAGCTGTTCATAGGAAGGTTTATTAGATTTGGACAATTAGTGTGATCGTCGATGTAAACTTATACCCACCCTTGCTTTCTTTCAATTATACAAAATTCATCACCTGTATTCTGTCCGGGGGCGCCTGTTACTCCACCTGGTGGTGCTTGACCTAAGAAAAGACATAAAGCAGTTCGGAGGTAGTCGTGATCCTTTGTTTCTGTCGTTGTCTTGCTGACATGCATGGAGTACCCGGCTGACATACAGGTTTATCCGCATGACACTAATATAGGCTTGATTTAAATAAGGTCGACAAACGATACATTTGACTAGATTATGAAGCTCTTCATGGGATAGAATATCTAACAGGTTTAAAATGATATTTTCACGATAAATCAGAAACCTAACTCCCTGTTATGAGTAAACCTTGTAATTTGTAGGTAAATTCAACTACAATGTAAAAAATCGATATTATTTCCTAATTAGGACTTAGTATCTAGTATAATATATTTTCGATGTGACCCTAATACGCTTCAGTAACTCCCCCGTTATCCGCAAACGTTGTAGTTTGTAGGTAAAGTCAACTACAATATAAAATCGAACAATCCCAAAAGTTAAATCTTACCAAGTACATAAACAGTCTTGTTTGCACTATAGTCTGCACTTAGGACAGAACACCTGAACTGTCTTCCACTGTCTAGATACGAGACTGTGTGAACCAGTGTTGACGCCCCTGTATATTGACATTCCGCTACTGAAGTAGGACGGTCGTAGGTGATGTTTTGGTCGTTGGGGTACCGTGTCCAGGTGGTGAACTCGCTGTTTACAGATCGCCACTCCCATGTCCACAGGTTCTGGAGGTTGTTCTCATCAAACTGGTTCCCAATCCTGCCTGTACATCTGATTGACAAGAGCTGACCATAGTCATATTGGATCCTGTCAGGAGTAGGGAACATCTCTATCTGCTCTGGGTAGGCTGTAAGAAAGTATATAGATATTGTCTGTCACCATTTGGGGCAATCGGCGTAGAAGAATGCCGATATTAACAGTACAATTACACTTATAAATGCTGTATAAGACTGTAATGGGAATTGTTTAAATGGTGTATAGATATCCAGTTAATTTGCATGAGTGACCCCTTATTCGATTGTTTAAATGCATTCAATATAAAAATTGTAACTCATATGCTGTCAACACTTATATTTAGAAACAGGCAATAAGTTTACACATTAAGAATATATCACACTGACCCAAACTCACAGCTAACAGGGCAGGTATACAAGACACATGAGATGACTTGAGAAATACACTAAAAAATATAATTAAGCAATTTAAATGTCAAATATAAATGTCTTATATATATATTCTAATTTCTTCGCACATATACACATACGCACACACACACACACATATATATATATATATATATACGCACAAAATGTCCAAAGTAGTACAGGTGTTCAGTCATAAATATTGCATAGATAAATAAAAACAGAATGCCGTTTTCTCCAACATGTTTCGTTCTTTACTCTTCTATTGTACAATCTCCCTGAAGAGTAAAGAACGAAACATGTTGGAGAAAACGGCATTCTGTTTTTATTTATCTATGCAATATATATATATATACATATACCGTTTAATTACATTATATATCTATCTAATATATATCGATATATACCGCTGACATACAACTTCATCTGCATAACTCTCTTAAAATATAGTCCTGATTTAGATCAGGTCACAAACGATCTCTTCCAATTGTAATTATAGTCTTCCTTTTTGAATCTTTGTCGTCCTGGTATATAAAACTTAAATGCATTTGAGTAGAACATGAAGCTGTTCATAGGAGAGAATGTAACAGGTTTATTGTGAAATATGTATATGTGTGTCTCAAGGACAGAGACGTTTCAGATTTAGTAGATATTAACATTACACACTTCCAGCTGTGATGTTTATAGTTGCCTCATCATTTCCATCTGTGCCAACCAAGTGTACAGTTTTGCAGTAGTATGTAGAAGCAGCATCAGCACATCTCAGATCTGTCAGGATGAACTGTATGTTGCCTGTTGCTCCACTGATAGAACCCGAGGCTGTCATCCGCTGCTGTAGACCTGTGTCCACTACTTGAACTGACGAATCTGTGTTGGTCATTCGTATTATAGTGTGATCAGTGCCAGTAGAAGACTTCTTGCCAATCTCCATGCCATACACTGTAGTTATCCCAGGTGCATTTGGCCTGCACCCGACAGTCAACTGAGATGTTGGGTTTCTGCCCCCGATTGTTATTTGGCTTGGTGAAGCGGTCAGGCTTGCCCCAGTGGCTGAAAAACACCCAAGTACTTGAATTTACATCAATTCAATAACAAGGACGATTTATTCATTCATATAAATATGTGCCATGAAAATATATACTGTATAGCATAGTAGCGTAGCGTAGCAGGGCTTGTGAAGGACTGCGGCGATGATGACTGATTCCTAATATAGAACTTTTAAGTAACGTGTTTCAGTTTAAAGCACACATGTTGAAATCTGATATTTGTGAAACAGATTCGATTTTCTTTGAGGGTGTACACAAGTGAATATAATCACAATGGAAAACTCTTCTCTTCTTCTACATCAGCACCGACTGATCAAGCATTTTATAGAAGCTTCCGTAAAGATTTATTTAGACCAAGTGCAGCAATTACGTAACGACCAGACTTCAACATATTTCATCCGGGCCATATCAAATCTCGTTAGAGGACTGTGAGCTGAGCACACTGCCCTTCCTTCATAAATATATATGGAAATGTTCTTGAAGCACATACTCCCAGGTCCTAAACATATCCCTTCTTGGGTCCCTGGAAATAGTGATCAGTCACCTATATCCCATTTTCATCATTCTGCCCAACTCAGGAAGATCAATCGATGACCATGGCCGTTTCCATGAGACTTCCTTACACTGATCTTTCTCAGTGCTTCAGTCACTGAATCCCCAGGCCCTGACTCAGTTACTTACAGGCCAAATTCATGTGCAAAGTATCCTTCCTTGACATCTGTATGATGGACAGAACACATTAGAGTCCGTCAACCAAAGAAGCTTAAGTACCCTCTGTATACCTTACGATGAATATATCTATACCGAATGCTAACATTAACAATACAACCAGTTAAGCTCAAATACAGGTTTGCTATCCGAATGACAAGTAAAGAAGACGAAACATAAAAGTGGATGTGGGATTGTAATCAGAATGCTGGGGCAGACTGATGGTCAAAAAAGCGATGGGAGAATACCACTGGGCTAAGTGTATGCTTTCAAAATGTCAGTAATGTGTATAGCTACCCTTGACGGAAATGTGCCACGGATTGTCGATGTGATTGAATGTCCAGACAATTATGCCAGAATTATATATGCTTTGATAGTGCTGTGGTATATCATTAATAGGCAAGACATTTCTGAAATTTACGCTCTTGATAAATATGTAAATTAACCAGTTGTACAAAACTCACTACTTGCAGGCTTTGCGGAAGGAGTTTTTGGTTGTTGTTGACCTGAAACAAATACGTAGCAGTTAGGAAGTAGACCTGATCCTTTCGCTCCTGTTGCTTTCCTGCTAACATGCATGAGATACGCTGCTAACATAATGGTTCATATGTATAACACATTTACAATACAAACCAGATTCGGATAAGGTCACAGACGATTTCTTCCCATTGTAATTACAGCATTCCTGCGTGAGTGTTTGTCGTCCTGGTATCATGTGTTAAATGTATTTGAGTAGAACAGCAAGCTGATTGTATATATAGAAGATACAACAGGAACTGCATTCGACCCGGAACAGCAATCACAAGCTTTTCGGTCCAATAAAAAATACACGAATGCCGTTAAAGAAGGACAATGTCGTTTATAGTCAGACGATGATGCTTTGACACCAAAATGTCAATAATGTGATATGGCCACCGTTGTCTGAAATATGTGCCAGGGTGACAGCTTTAGCGTGATCGTAGATGTAATCTTATATAACCTGCTCTTGCGTTTTTTGAATTATACAAAACTCACCACTTTCGGGATGAGATGATAGTTCTGGTTCTGCGTCACCTGACAAAAGATGTAAATCAGTTAGGAGATAGTTCTGATCCCTTGTTTTTGCCTTTTTTCCTGCTAACATGAATGGTGTACCCGCTGACATATAGTTTTCTCAGGAATTATTGAGAAAGTCTTTGTTTCCAAACACTGAGCATAGCATTTAACAATAGGTGTTACATTATGTAGTAAGGTACTCATGATAGGAGGCAACTCTTGTAGGCTTAGTAATGGACCTAAATACATCGAGAGTTATCTCCCTGGTGTAACAGGCGACTTCTTTTGTTGATATGACAGTCAGAAGAGAACTGAAAGCTGGTTCTAGATGATTTTGAAAGCGGTGTGACTATTGCAAAAGAGTTAGCTGTAACATGTTTCCTGCAAAATTTGATCGGTAGTGTACCTAGGCGCATTCAGTCGTGTATTGTAGGGCAAGGAGGTCCCACAAAGTACTGAAAAGACACTTAGACTGTAAGAGAATCATATCTTAACATATTCAGTTAAGTAAAGCTTCTATAGTTCATATAAATGTATTCGATATTTGCTGAAACAACTTTCTCAATAATTTATAGACCCGTGAAGGTCCGGGTTAGAATATTGATCTTCAGTCACCCATGCTTGTCGTCAGAGGCGACTAACAGGATCGGGTGGTCAGGTTCGTTGACTTGGTTGACACATGTATGTCATTGGTTCCCAATTGCGCAGATCGATGCTCATGCTGTTGATCACTGGATTTTCTGGTCCAGGCTCGATTATTTACAGACCTCCGCTATATAGCTGGAATATTGCTGAGTGCGGCATAAAACTAAACTCATTCATTCACTCAGTGATTTATAGGAATACTATAAGTTCATCTGCCTAACACTCATAAAATATAGGCCTGATGTGTATAAGATCACAAACGATCTCTTCCAATTGTAATTATAGCCTTCCTTTTTGAATGTTTGTCGTCCTGGTATTAAAAGCTTAAATGCATTTGCGTAGAACATAAAGCTGTTCATAGGAAGGTTTATTAGATTTGGACAATTAGTGTGATCGTCGATGTAAACTTATACCCACCCTTGCTTTCTTTCAATTATACAAAATTCATCACCTGTATTCTGTCCGGGGGCGCCTGTTACTCCACCTGGTGGTGCTTGACCTAAGAAAAGACATAAAGCAGTTCGGAGGTAGTCGTGATCCTTTGTTTCTGTCGTTGTCTTGCTGACATGCATGGAGTACCCGGCTGACATACAGGTTTATCCGCATGACACTAATATAGGCTTGATTTAGATAAGGTCGACAAACGATACATTTGACTAGATTATGAAGCTCTTCATGGGATAGAATATCTAACAGGTTTAAAATGATATTTTCACGATAAATCAGAAACCTAACTCCCTGTTATGAGTAAACCTTGTAATTTGTAGGTAAATTCAACTACAATGTAAAAATCGATATTATTTCCTAATCAGGACTTAGTATCTAGTATAATATATTTTCTATGTGACCCTAATACGCTTCAGTAACTCCCCGTTATCCGCAAACGTTGTAGTTTGTAGGTAAAGTCAACTACAATATAAAATCGAACAATCCCAAAAGTTAAATCTTACCAAGTACATAAACAGTCTTGTTTGCACTATAGTCTGCAATTAGGACAGAACACCTGAACTGTCTTCCACTGTCTAGATACGAGACTGTGTGAACCAGTGTTGACGCCCCTGTATATTGACATTCCGCTACTGAAGTAGGACGGTCGTAGGTGATGTTTTGGTCGTTGGGGTACCGTGTCCAGGAGCTGAACTCGCTGTTTACAGATCGCCACTCCCATGTCCACAGGTTCTGGAGGTTGTTCTCATCAAACTGGTTCCCAATCCTGCCTGTACATCTGATTGACAAGAGCTGACCATAGTCATATTGGATCCTGTCAGGAGTAGGGAACATCTCTATCTGCTCTGGGTAGGCTGTAAGAAAGTATATAGATATTGTCTGTCACCATTTGGGGCAATCGGCGTAGAAGAATGCCGATATTAACAGTACAATTACACTTATAAATGCTGTATAAGACTGTAATGGGAATTGTTTAAATGGTGTAAAGATATCCAGTTAATTTGCATGAGTGACCCCTTATTCGATTGTTTAAATGCATTCAATATAAAAATTGTAACTCATATGCTGTCAACACTTATATTTAGAAACAGGCAATAAGTTTACACATTAAGAATATATCACACTGACCCAAACTCACAGCTAACAGGGCAGGTATACAAGACACATGAGATGACTTGAGAAATACACTAAAAAATATAATTAAGCAATTTAAATGTCAAATATAAATGTCTTATATATATATTCTAATTTCTTCGCACATACACAGCAAAAATAACTTAGTTTCCGTTCTTGCGGAAACCTAATGGATACTGGGTAATGTAGGTTTCCGCTAGGTTTCAGTATGCGGAAACAGACAATGCGAGTTTCCGCATAGTTTACAAAACTGAAACTAACAAATCTAGGTTTCCGTCATGTTTCTACAACTGAAACTATCATTATGCGTTTCCATTTAGTTTCAGTTCGCTGAAACATTCATAGCAAAATGACTTAGTTTCCGTTATTGCGGAAACCTATTGGATACTGGGTAATGTAGGTTTCCGCTAGGTTTCTGTTGGTTTCAGCTTAGATGAAATGGCAAACTTAGCTTTGTGCTGTTCCATTGGGGGACAATATTTACTTACTGTTATATTTGCAAGATAATTTCTATGTACAGAATCCAGCTAGGGTCCATGCGGGAAGCAAAAGTACTGTACGTTCCCGTAGTCCCTAGTATGTTGATCAACCTTCAGGTGTACATTTGTCATAGACTAGTTTTTACTGTCCTTCGAAGACAGGTAAGTACATGAGTTTGTTTTTATTTCATGTACACATTTACAAATTTAGATTTACGACTTTCCTAGTCACGATATGGCTGCCGATGTGACTTTGTGTGGGTGGGTGGGTAGGTAGGTAGGTAGCTAGGTAGGTAGGTAGGCAGGTGAGAAGCCACATCAAGAGGGAATCTTCAGCATTGGAGAACACAACTTCTGCATGAATATGCAAATACAAATATGTCAAAACCCTACAACATTTTATGCATATGATGAAATGATGTCTACTAGTGCAGGCATAATATACTTGCTGTGGTATTTATTAAACAGATTTCAAATTCAAATGTTTATTGTATGAAAGGTCATGGGCCCATATACATGAAATGTACATTTGAAGCTGCCTCAATGTATCTTAACATATACACACTAACAATCTCACATAGTAAAGACTTGGCAACTTGCTGACAATCATGAAGCTTCTATTGCACTCATACTGATCAAACAGCCATCCTCTGATCTGGTACATATGAAACAGAGCCTGAGATGAGACATTTGTTTCGCAACACAGAGAAAGGGGAAATATAACCAAGTTGATTACAACAAGGCTTGAACCAGTCCACAACCACAAACAGATGGTGTATGCTCTACTTAAGATCTGTGGGTGAATATGAAGATTTCCTGGTTGATGTCTGGCACAACATCGTTGCCATGCTCATCGTCCCACACAGACTCTGCATCATCCTACAAATACAATACATACAATGCTTAGTAAAACTACAAAAACAGCCAAAGTAACTCGTGTATACATGTTCAAAAACATGCACAGTGGTACATCTGATCACAATGAAATTATAAAATTAGAACGACTAATTTGTAGATGTAACCAAAAGATCTTTTCACAATTACAAAGGAAAGATCTGTAGTATACATGTATATTGTATCTTCCATTGGACATGTCACTTATTTGATTGATTGGTACCAGAAAATAGTATCCAACCCAGTATTCTGAAGCAAATTGTGGTAATATTTATTACTGTTACTGTACTCATATTCAAGGTAACATCTACTACCAAATCGCCAATTGAAATCTAAGCATAGGTAAGAGGGTACATACATATTTTGAATAGATAAGAATCATGTTTAAACACTGAATGAAACACCTGATTATATATGTGATCTTATTCATTTCAAATTGAAATGACCAACTCAACTGAGAAAAGCATACAAAACCTAACATTTCCCTTGAATGAAAAAATCGTGGGTATTTCTTAGTTTTATCAACATTCACAGCAATATAATAACATAAAATATTACTTTTTAATGTGACCTTTACTTTATTTTATAAACTGTAAGATGCGTAACACAACTTATTCACTTTCAGTTACATATCTGATATACAATAATTAAATATATTCGTTATTGATATATGATGGATAACAAAGGGGCAGATCAAACTGAAGTCGTTATGTGAAACCTATGAAGTGAAGCATCTTTGACGACTAACCTGATGAGAAACTGCCGTCCATCCCAGGCGGATTCCTTGTTTCCTTGAAACAAACGACTGGCAGAGCGGACAGAAAACTGGTCTTTTTCTTGGAACTGAAAAACATATCAACTTATAATTTCACTGGAATCCACGCATTGTGACATTTTGAGTGATTATATCTTTCACAAAGATAGAGAAATTTATTTTAAGTATCGATTTAGTGTTAACTTGTTTTTGACTAATTGCTGATGAATAAAAAGTATTGTTTTAAGATTTCCTTTAATGAAATTAGGAGCATGGTATGGTGTAACTATAAATGATTACCAAGCCAAGCCTCTTGTCAATCTCCAACAAGTCAGTGGATCCACAATACGTATCTGTAAATTGAAAAAATGATTATTTTACAAATTTTATACGTGAATTGTGTCAATGCATTGTAAGGCTAAGAGGTTTCATAATTGATTACACAAATTATTACACAAAGCTATGAGTGTAAAGTATATGTAATAATTGTTTTAATGGTTATAAAATGATAAAATAGATGAGTTGCTTGCTTTCCTATCATGCTGCATACTATTTATTATTTGTTTTGTTCGCGTATCAATGGAATGGAGAGGTATTCAAATAAGCCATTGTGGCTTGATTCCAATCCTGGTTCAATTTGTTTTGAATAAAATATGTTTACACTAAAATAGATGAACTGGTACAATTGGATAAATACCGCCATATAGCTGGAATATTGCTGAGTGCGGCGTCATACTAAACTCACTCACTTAGCTATAATGAGCTGACATTACATATAGACTAGTAATAAGTAAACTTATAATGCACGGGAATAGTATACGTAGATATAGGTGTAGAACTGAAAAGAATGAACATGATATAAGCATGTCTAATACACTTGCATGTTTTGAGCTCAATAGGTAAGTTACTTACATGATGAAGGTTTACGTCCAGCAGAAATATTTTCGTATATTGCCTACTCCTGACAGGGTTTTGAAAAATCACCTATTTGCCACTAACACAAGTTCTCATGAGTAGGACTCATGAAGCTCGATCAGGACTTTTAAAGTAACGTGAATATGTTTTCAGATTTATTCACTGTTAATTATCTCTAGGCCTACATGTTGATGCTTGACACTGAGGAGGAGCAATTAGTGCCCATAATGCGATGAAAAGACCCTTAAGCTCATAACAGCCCACTGTTGTCACTTTGGGTACTCACATTCAATCTGTTCGTTTCCACCTTTTGCGGTCCCCTTTGATGTCGGCAATGTAAACAAATAAAACAATGGCGACCGGATCACGTCCACGCGAGACTACCTAAATCATTATAAAAACACACAGCTGACATTTTAGGTGTATAGTGTATGTTTATTTTGTTGTATAACAAGGAAAGATATTGTCAAACTGTAATGTTAGATTTAGATTAAAAAACAACAACAAAGTGTTTTTTCCCGTGAGTCTTTGCGAGACGCCATTTTCATAGCCGCCTCAGTTTTCCTCAAAGCACTGGAAGAGAGAATTCGATACCTGGAAAAGAAAGATGGAAATGGCTGCGAAAAACTCGCAGTACAACGACCCTGTCAGGTAAGACCAAGTTATTGTGGTGTCAAATAACGTTTAATGAATTATTATTTACTTTACGTACTGAAATCCAGATTGGTAAACAAGCTAATCTGTCGCATTACAGCCACTGGTATTCGTCACTATGTATTATTCGACTTACATGTTAATTTGGTGCAGCTAGACATTGAATTTATTTAATATCCGTTTGATATTGTTCATATTTTGCACATGGGTCATGAATAATCTCAGCTACAAAGACATAATTTCCGTTTTATTTTCAATTCAGTGCGTGTCATGGTTATGGCAATTGTAACATGGCGGTCTATGGGGAAAGAATACGCAATGTTATATATATGTTGCTCATGTAACTACAATGCGGAAAATTATGTATCTGTGACCAAGATGATTTCCTAACAACCTGCGAAATCTGACAAGCAAATATGGAAAACTGAATTAATGAAAATTACACAACTACACTAAAATAGCATGCAAGTCTATGAGAATTTTGCCGACTGAAGTATATTTGAGTCCCACGACTGTACAGTTTTGCTCGAACTATTTCAAACGATGGTGAAGTAAAATAAATCTATCTTAAAATACACTACAAGTTTGAAAAATATAGCAAATAGATTATATATTAATGGATTTGTTTTATTCATTTAGGCTGTTGTGAGGAAACATGTGTCACGGCTACTCCTGGAGGAAAAGATCACACTCTCTTACTGAAGGTATGTATTTATGGTACTACGAAACATAGACATAATTTTACTTTGAATATTTTAATTATTATGCTTCCCTAGATTCATTTTCACAAGATGAACCATACTAAAGTTTCATTTGCAAATGGATTTGAATAACCGGTAACTTAATCATGATTTCTAATTGGACCAAATAAATCTTAACTTCACACCTGTGTAAAATTGCAGTCAAACTGACCCCTTGATTTTACAATACCGTAATTACTCCAAGGTTATGTCACATGAGATAACCAAACTCAATTCATCAGGATGTTTATGTCAGGCCGTTCACTTACTGATTGCATAACCTAAAGTGATAAATCTGTAGTTTGCTTGTTGGTATAAATGTGAAGCTGCAATTGTTTTGGCCTTTTTTTAAAACTCGAATGAATGAATGGGGAAATGCAAAGAAAAGTAAGGTGTTACTGTTTATTTTTTTTCAGCAAAGCTGATGATGTGTCTGGAGACTGTATAATGAATGACCAAGGATGGTCAGCAGGAACATGTGAAGGTAATTTTGACCTATCTGTAGTGACTTTTATTGTAAATAGTAAATAATTTCCAATTAATAGTGTAGAGACAAGGTTTATGGATGTCAACTCCTTTATTATGTGAAAACATGTTTCACAGTGAATGATTACCCCTTTGTCAGGTGTAAGCATTCACCCCGAAACATTGTGTTTTTTACATAATAAAGACGTTGACATCCATAAACATTCATGTCTTGTATTATTCACTTAAAAATACACCTCAAAGACTTAATGGTGTAAATATACAGTCACTACTGGGTGAATATACTTGTGCCTTCAACAATACGACTGACTGACTGAGTTTGGTTTTACGCCGCTTTTAGCAATATTCCAGCAACATCACGGCGGGGGACACCAGAAATGGGCTCAATACGAACTGTAAGAGATTGAATATAGCATTTTGATGAAAATCTATTACTAGTACCATTATTGCTATATAGAAAATGCAATAAATGTTCAGATATATACATAACGTATTACTACCTCTGGTCTGGGAACCATGTAACTCCAGAGCAAATTGTGTATAGATTGTGTGTCCTCTTTAGAAAATATGATATTTCATTCGGTCAATGAAGTGTGATGAATTGCATAATTTGAGTTTTGAGAAAACTAGTGCAAATTGTGATAGTTCAATTAAGTTCTCTTTTATTCAAACTTCCTTTTGGATTACTCATTTAAATCATCCTTGGCATTGTCAGTTTCTTGTTGATTGATGTTTGTGTAATTTATCAAAATAACCTAACAATTCGTCATTCCCTGCCATTTTCAGAAACTTGCACATCTCCTAAACAGACTTGCATCTATCGATTGGCCAGATAGACGAAAGAAAAGGTAGCGACAACACTCACCATAGACATGACATCACCAGTCGTGAATGACGAAGTTCACGTCAATAAGTTGCATTCCGTCTCCCTTTGTCTTGGAGTCCAGCAAGCTTAGGGCATACACGACGACACTGAACTTGGAAAGAATCTACACCTCTACTGCCCTCGTCGTGGCCAACGTGAGGACGAGGATGAGGCATCCAACCAACCGGAGGGATCTCCGCCCAGGAATGCCCCTTATTGGGCTAACTGACCAACTCTTGCAATATAATTGAATTTATTTTCAATTTCATAATGTAATTTTTATTTTATGTTATTTTTGTATTGTAAGCTGTATGTTGTGTTATTGTATGATGTATTTCATAGTGGATGTTTGGCGATAGTTGTGTGTGGCAGAATACCAAGGCGTGCAAATAAATGTCCGATGCAGCTATGTTTAATTACTGTGTTAATTTGTATGTTATTGTTTTTTTTCACCATTAGCATGATTTTTGAAATAAATTTCATATCTAACATGCTATTTCAAGATAATAAGTGAATGAAAGTTTAACTGATGAAAAATTACTACTTTGTTATTAATGATATATGATTTCGTAAATTGGATTGAGTTATGCCAACATGTTTTGCTCTGTTTTTGAGTGCTATATTACTAGTTATATGTATGATCTTTATTTGCCTGAAATGCTTATTCATATTCATGTTGAGAAAATAAAACAATGAATCTTATTATATATTCTGTTTTCTTTAAGTAAATGTCATGATAATAACAAATTGCTTATATTGTTTTTAACAAGAGTTTATGATATGAATAGAGAAGAATGGTTAAATTTGACTCTTTGAAGCGTATATGAAAACCCGTGAACCTGAAACTGAAACGGGTAACTGAAACTATGCGGAAACTATGTCGGATTGTTGGTAACTGAAACTATGCGGAAACTATGTCGGATTGTTGGAACTGAAACTATGCGGAAACTATGTCGGATTGTTGGTAACTGAAACTCTGCGGAAACCTGTTGGAGTCTTATTAATAACTGAAACCTTGCGGAAACCTGATGGATTCAAAGTTAACTGAAACTCAACGGAAACTTGTCGGAGTGTGGGTAACGGATACCTTGCGGAAACCCGTTGAATTGTGGGTAACGGAAACCTTGCGGAAACCCTTAGAAAGTGGGTAATTGTAAGTTTCCGTTATTGCGGAAACTCAATGTAAAAGAACGGAAACTCACTGGATTCTAGGTGGAAACTTAAGTTTCAGTCCACTTTCCACCAAGTTTCCGCATTGCGGAAACCAAGTTATTTTTGCTGTGATATACACATACGCACACACACACGTATATATATATATATATATATATATACCGTTTAATTACATTATATATCTATCTAATATATATCGATATATATATATATATATATATATATATATATATACAAATACACAAATGTGTTGTTCTTTTCCAGTACAGAGTGCTCTACACTTGAGGTGGGGGAGCAAGTATATAGAGCTGGAAATTCTCAACAACAAAGGCTACAAGATCAACAAAAAGAGCAAACTACTTTCTACCTGTCGGCATGGAAAGCACACAAGCCGAGTGAGAAAAATATAGTTCCAAGCAACTTGATTTCAGTTTGTCTGATGATTGCCGTACAGAACACTTGTGTTTGTGTGTGCATGAAACTCTGAGTAACAAACATGAAATAATCCAGTGTACTAAACATACATATATACTTGCTCCGCCACCTAAAGTGTAGAGCACTCTGTACTGGAAAAGAACAACACATTTGTGTGTGTTTGTGTGTGTGTGTGTCTGTGTGTGTATGTGTGAGTGAGTGAGTGTGTATCTCAAAGAAACCAAACGTTTCAGATTTACTTGTAGTAGATATTAACATACGCACTTCTGGCAGTGATGTTGGTAGTTGCCTCATCATTTCCATCTGCACCAACCATGTATAACGTTTTGCAGTAGTATGTAGTAGCAGCATCAGTACTTCTCAGATCTGTCAGGATGAACTGTATACTGCCTGTTGGTCCACTGATAGAACCCGAGGCTGTCATCCGCTGTTGTAGACTTGTGTCCACTACTGTTACTGACGTGCCTGGCGAGTCTATCTGTATGATAGGCTGTATAGCACCAGAAGATGATATCTGGCCAATCTGTATGTTATACAATGTAGTTATTTCAGGTGCATCGGGCCTACACGAAACAGTCAACTGAGATGTTGGGTTACTGCCCCCGATTGTTATTTGGCTTGGTGATGCGGTCAGGTTTGCCCCAGTGGCTGAAAAAAACCAAGTACTTGAATTCGATTTCATAAAATATCTGCCATAAAAATATAAAGCAGAGTAACGTGGAACTGCACTGTGGCAGATACTACATATTCATGATTTCTGTAATTTGAGCTATACAGATAATCTACAGTTGTAAAGAGCAATTCCACAAGTTTTTTCACTAACGTCTTTCAGTTACACAACATACAAGTGGAACATCTGGCATTGGGGAAGCAGATTCTATGATGATGTACAAGGATGAATGTATACACACAGGCAGTATATTTTATGGTACAAGTATCACTGTTGCCTTTGCTTTCTTCATGAACGAGTTTGGATACTGGACAGCATACTGGACCTGATTCCGGTTGCTAACTTGTTTGTTACATAGGACTTATCTCACAAATATATGTGTATCTTTCACATTGCACAGCAATACAATCACAGCTTTACAATAAAAAGCTCCTTTGTTTGACAACTAGGTTTGTCTTGCAATATAGGGTCTGTACTTACTTCCAGGGAGAAAGGTCATGAAGATGAGAAGACAGAAAGGATGACATGGGTTCATGATTTTCTGGTTTCTGACAGGTGCGACTTTCTGTTCCTGAAACATGTTAGTTACCACTTTGTAGCATAAAGATTTATTTTCAGATGATATCAATCTTTAATTGGAGTTTATCTAACGTACAAGTAAACAAGCCGTTGCATAATAGGTGAATGAAGACACTGGACCACTGACCCTCATCCTGCCCTTTCGCCTCAATTCCGCTCCCAGCCCCCACTACAAATTCGTGGTCTATGAGCAGGAACATCAGACGATGTCCTCGCTGGTATTAAAGTTTGAAGCCTTCAATACGAAAAATGGGCATTTTTATATTTTTTCAATATTATTTTACTTATGGGGTAATAACGTCTGGTTGGGCACGATGAATAATTCCTCTCCCACAAATTCCTCTCCCATGTCATTCAGGTAATGCAAAAATAGTTCATCTTCTTTCATATCCACCCGATCGATGTTGTACATTTTGATGGACCAAACGGGGATCTTTAGCTTGGCGTCGACTATCTCCCTCGTGTTTGCCGGGCTCACGCTGACCTGATTTACAATAATTACAAGGTTTAGCAAAATATGTATCTGGAGAATTTTGCTTAGCGTCCATAAACAAACTTAATTACATGAACACGCGATGGAACAGACAATCCTGTGATTGTCACCATGGGATACGACGACAGAACATGTGTTCATGAATCACTATCAAATAGTGATGATACCATGTCTTCGCGAAAGGGTGAGCATATCCTGCCGCACCGGTGGCACCCGTCATAAACATATGCAAAGTCTAGTCAGTGGTTCACCTGAAATATTTAGGGAAGGTCTGGTACAAGTCAAAATAGGGAATTGCATCGGACATTCTTCCTTACTGTCATATAAAGAAGCTGTTGTCACGACCAGAACAAGATTTATTCTCATTCGGCACACATCCTATAATGATCGTGAACAAGGGGGAATAACTCTTGAATGGATTACCACTTTAAAATAACCAATACTGACAGTTACAATACTCCGAATGAAACTAATATTTACAACAAGCAAACTAAGCAAAGATTGTTTTGGAGAATAGTACTTAGCGTCTCACCCATGGGTTAAAATATTAGTCTTCAGTCACCCATGTCATATGAGGCGACTAACGATCGGGTGGTCAGGCTCACTGACTTGGTTGACATATGTCATCGTATCCCAATTGCGCAGATCGATGCTTATGCTGTTGATCACTGGATTGTCTGGTCCAGACTCGATTATTTACAGACCGCCGCCATATAGCTGGACTATTGCTAAGTGCGGCGTAAAACTAAACTCACTCACTCACAAACTCACTTAGCGTCAGTGGACAAGACCAGTTAAGTATATACATTAGCTACAGGCATACAGGTAATACGCTGTGCTGATTACAGGTGTGGACATATACATTGCCATGTTATTTCATCTATCAATACATATAAGTATAAAGGTAGTTATTTTTCGTTTAGAACTGTAGATACACACGTCACAACAGTGCTGGGAAGTGTAATACTCACACATGTATATCTTTCTCACCATTCAGAATCCTACCCTCCACAATTTACTTCCTTGATGACTGCATTGCTTATAACCTCTACATGTCACACCCATACAATGGCTAAGTCAAACATACATGGTCATGGTGACACAGTCAGTAGGGCAAAGTCCACGTGTATCAACAAGCCTATTGCCAGCCTATTGAGCAATGTTAAGGGTGTGTGCAGTGTTCATTCCAATGATGATATGGACACCCATACGACCTTGTTGTACACACGTGCTATAGCCGTGTGATGGCAGGAGTACAAATAACTTGACAATTCATTGTTCGGGTCCTAGTAACATGAAACTGGGTTCATAGTGAACAGGAGATGCGGATTAAGATCGCATGGAGGGGAACATGTCCAGCGAAGGGGAACAATGTGTGTTGAGATCGTAGTCGTGTAGTGGTAGGTTTGGAAGTCAGCGGACAGAAAGATTTTTGTGTTTAAATGTACAACCGAATTGATAACTTTCAGTGATGCACCACACTCGGCAATATTATAGCTTTATCTGTATACTTTTTCTGTAGTGAAATGTGATCATATCCTCGCTGTGGTAACGCCATTTGAACTTTGGAAACACCTGTAATCAACACCATCAGGGTGCCCACTAACCGATCTTATCTAAGATCAATCTTAGCAAGCTACGCCAATTTTACAATCGTCTCAGCTACTAACCGATCTTACGCCGATCGTAGCCGGTCCCGATCTTACGATCCGATCCAAGCTTAGGTCGAGACTCTTTCGTGCTAGAGATAGAGGAATGCGAGGCACGAGTTATCTCCCTTTGCATAGTCTAGCAAATGATGGAAGTAGTTTACGAACCAACTGAGTGAGTGAGTGAGTGTAGATTTACGCCGCACTCAGCAATAGTCAAGCTATATCGCGGCGGTCTGTGAATAATTTAACTAAGATGCATAACGTTCACTAACATGAGCGTTCATGTTAGTGAACGTTATGTATCTTAGCTATAAATAATCGAGTCTGGACCAGACGATTTAGTGATCAACAGCATGAGCATCGATCTGCACAGTTGGGAACCGATGACATGTGTCAACCAAGTCAGCGAGCCTGACCACCCGATGCCGTTAGTGGCCTCTTACGACAAGCATGGGCTATTGAAGTTCAATATTCTAATCCGGGCCTTCATGGGTATTTTTCCAACCAAGTGTAAACGTGGAGAAAAATCCTAGAGCAAAATATTAGGGTATTGAGCACCTTGCTTTCACGTGCAAGTGCATAGGCATATTATCAGGCATAATATAATAATAATAATAAATGCATATTTTTAGTGCGCCTATTCCACATCCGGGGGCATGCTCAAAGCGCTATGTACAGATAATTTACACGAGAGTATTTACAACCGAGATTATAAGTAATATACTGAGAACAGGTTTTAAGTCTGGACTTACAAAATGTCACTTGTGTCAGAGCTTTTAATATGTGCCTGAACCTTGTCAATCAGAATAAACCAATCAGGTGGTTTCCGTGAATTGTGATTCGAATATTAGAATAAGGGTTCATAAAAACTCTACTCATTCATAAAGGGTTCAGACTACAAACGATGAAATTATAAACGAAATTGGAACTAACAATATAGGAACTAATAATGACATACCTAGACAGATCAATTCTTGATCTGTGTAGAATAAAGGGTGAATTTGCAAGCAGGTACTAAAGTATGACCTAATTGTGATAAATAAGGAAGCAAGCAAAATGGTGAGAAAGTGAGTTCAGATCTACGCTGATTTCAGCAATATAAGATCGCGGCGGGGGACACCAGGCCCCGGGATCATGAAAAAATCTAAAGTTTAAAATTTGCTTAGAACAAAAAAATCTTAACTCTACAAAACTTTACTTAGCTAAGATTTTAGATAAAACTGGATCATGAAACTGTCTTAGCAAAATCTTAGCTAAGACTAAGACTCAGACAGTTACCATGGCAATTTTAGAATGATGTAATCATGTCCGGTCACTCTTAATTAATTGAGGAGAATAGTTTAGTAGCAGGCACCTGCAGAAATGTTCCAAACAAGTCAACTGACGCTTTTATCCCTGCCGCGGTGACTTTTAATGTCTTTAAGGTTGGGATGTTTTCAAAAATACACCAACATGAACGCCTAAATGTGCTTTCTGCCATATTGCATTGGATAGTGTTTACAAAATTACGTTTTGCGAAGGCCGGTATTGAGACGCCTATTACATCACGTATATTTCCTATTCAGCTGTGACAAATACATCACAAAATCCCTCATACATTTTAGTATCAAATAAGAAATGGTCTTTGTCACTAAAACCAAGTGTAGGTGATATGAAACGAACGCTGTGCGCGAAAGACAGCACTTGTTGAAATGTAAACAAAGAAACATTGAGACGTTACACTGTGTACTGCATTTTCTCAGATTTCAGACACCCATTCGTCTATTCGTAGCATGCATAGGCTCAATACTGTTAGAACATACATGGAAAGAGTATCGTAGCAAGAAATAGCAAATTAATAATAGATACAATACATTAATGTGATATGGTTATACGAAATTGTCAAAGTTTCTGTGCAGCGTGACACCATGACTGACGGAAAATCTCGCAGAACAACAACGGTAATGATCGGCATATCTGGCTTCTTCTCTTACTTACAATAAATACGATAAAACATAAGAATACACAGATAGTCAGTTCATTCTGATTACTTACATCACACATTTATGTACAAACGATTCCAGAATCAAGGGAAAGGTTCTCGCAAAATCCTGTGTACCTATGTCAGCGAAGCCGCCATTGTTTAAGAAATCGGTCAACGACAGTGATGTCATAAACGTTAACATTGTTGTTACATATTTGGCAATTTCTTTGAGGTGAAGGTCGGTTGAATAAGAGTAAACACAATCGCCATGTCGCACCGATTACACTTTCAGCGTTATAGTAATATATATCTTGTGTATCGTTCAGATATTTTTTCATAAAATAATTTCATTATCCATATTTAGCCTTGTTCTATATCATGTCCGTGGATAAAGGGTAAACGGTTTTTATTCCTTCAAGGGTTTTGTTTGTTTGAATAATATTTACATAGGAAATGACATACTGAGTGTAGTAGACCATAATTTAAACCCTTAAACAACTATATTAGAAGAACAAACGTAGGCGTAACTGCAACATGTACTTAAATAGTTTCTACCATGTGCAATATTCGCCATTCGGACCAATATTACAGTTGTATATGAACAGGTTAATGAACAGCGATTTAATAAAAATATTCTTTTTAAATTACGTCAAATTGATGCCAAACAGGTGCGCGTGTTGTTCATATTAAGATACACCGTCAAACCGTCTAATTATGGATCTATTCGGGACATTATTTAAATGGTACAATCAGTCATTTTAAGTTCTGTTGAAAGAGTGTTAAATTCTGACATAGACACCGAAACCTTTTCTACAATTCATGGAAATTAGGTGAAATATATACTAATGAGCATACCAATGTCGTCTTTTTCCGACTTTGCAAAATACATAAAACAAGCAACGACGTCAACTCCAATGTTGTAATCTTTCAGTAATTTCATTACATTTGAAGATATGGCTAGTATTCGGTTAATAATGATGCAAAATTAGTCAAAATACATCTACACAAACAAGAGAATTTGTGAATCAAAGAACTAATTTACATATCAGATAGGGCCATCCAAATCGCTATTACGTGCTTTCTCATGTGGTACATTGTCATCTTTTCTTATAAACTGTGAAACTACCAAAGCGTATCCGCTCACATTGGGAAACTTTGAATAGGAATAGTTGGGTTCACGGTGAACAAAACATAAGGAAAATGTAGCGCCCATATCCTAAACACATTCTCTCCAAGTGATCTGAATTACATTGACCTAGTCTTACGCATAACGGAGTTATGCTCCCTTATCATTATACGTGTATGACCTCTCTGTTGTCGTTTGACGTCATACAAGAAAATCCATTTTAGACATTTATTGCGAGTCATTTTTAATGTTGAGCGTATAACGTTATGCATAAGCAAATAAACCCATTTCATATATACTTATGTCGTTCAGATATCAGGCTGTATTTTCTTCGTTGACACTTTCTGTAAAGATGCCAAATTAAAAAATTCGTAGCACAGTGCTTTTTTCGGTGCACGATCAAAAGCGGAGAAATATACTGTTTCTTATCGCATAACAAGATTTTTGGACATCATTTAGCAGTGTCTGTTTCTTAAACCGCGTAGGTATTTGCATTTATATTTATACCAACGGATTGGAAATTTACTATTTTATATTTCTGTGTAATTTTATAGCCGTACGCAGATCCAGGCCCACGCGAGCGCAAATCTCGCACAACGTTCACTTTTCAAACCTTATGAAAATGTGCGCCTGAAAAAAAACCTTGGCACCAAAGAGGACTTAAGACTGGTAGGTAGCAGTCTCAGGATTTAAGACAAAAAATGATCTCAGTCTTAACTTTTAAAGGCTAAAAAATGTACGTGATCCCCGATTTAAGACAATTTTTGGGACTTAAGATCAAAATGACAGACTTAAGCAATTTTTAGACTTAAGTCACTTTCATGACCCCGGGACCAGAAATAGGCTTCACACATTGCTGCTATGTGGGGAATCGGCGTGACGAGCGAACTCTTTACCCACTAGGCTACCCCACCGCCCTTCCTAAGTCCTCTGTAACTCCACATATTCATATTCGTAAACCATGGTTCAATAATGAATGATAATGGGCCAGACAGAGTAGGATGAAAGCAGGAAGTATTTTCGGCAACATCCTACAGTCCATAATTCATACAAAGTAAAAACTTCAAGTGCAAAGGCTCGACGTGCCTTTAAACAGAATAGATGCAGTCTTGGCAAAATTATATTTCCAAGATAAATTCACGCATACCGATATCAAAGGTGTGGAACATGATACAAAGGATAAAGGGCAAAGGTTCCAAATCTACTGTCCACCATCTGAAGGATGGTGACAAATTATTAACAGATAAGGCTGACATTGCCAATAGGCTTGGTGAAATTCTCGCGAAGCGTTCGTCTTCATCCAGTTATGTCCCTGTGTCAGAAATACCAGAAACAACAGGAAAAGAAAAGAATTAATTTCAACTCGGACAATGGTGAAGATTACAACGAACTATTTTCACTACATGAGATACATACCGCCCTTGAGCAAGCTCATGATACAGCAACAGGAGCTGATGATATTCATTATCAGCTCTTGAAGCATTTACCTGAATCATGTTTGGAAACACTTCTGAATATTTTTTTACAATAATGACTTCAGGGAATTTCCCAACTTCGTGGCGTAATGTCATTGTAATCCCTATTCCAAAACCAGGCCGGGATCATACTGATCCGTCTTATTACAGACCAATCCCTTTAACGTCTTGTGTCTGTAAAAAATATATTAACATGGTATCTTGAAACCAATAACTTATAACAAATATTCAATTTGGTTTCAGGAAAAATTGTAGTACCATTAATCATTCGGTACGTTTAGAGTCCTTTTTTAAAATGCTATAGTAAATAAACAACATGCAGTATCGCGATCGATATTCTTGGATCTGGAGAAAGCACACGGTACCACCTGGATACATGGCATTTTAAAGGATTAAAATGATTTTGGTTTAAGGAGTCAATTACCTCTTTTCGTATCACAGTTTTAAACCGACAGGCAATTTCAAGTCCGAGTGGGTTCAACCCTGTCTGACCACTATAATCAGGATCGGGGTGTCCCACAAGGCAGTATTTTATCTGTCACATTGTTTAGTATTAAGATCAACAGCTTATCCAAGGTTTTACATAATTCAATTGGTGGATCACCTTTTGTGGATGATTTAAATATCTCTTGTCGCGAAGGGGAACGGTGTGTCTTGATATTGTAACCGTGTAGTGGTAGGTATAGATATCAGCAGGTCAGAAAGGTTTCTGTATTTGGATGTATAAACGAATTGGTGTGTAATTGAAATGTTTGGTGTGTTGTTTCACGCTGCACTCCAATATTCCAGCTGTATCACGGCGGTCTGTATATAATCGAGTGTGGACCAGACAATCTAGTGATCAGCAGCATGAGCAACTATCTACAAATATGGGATACGAATACATGTGTCGACCACGTCAGCGAGCCTGACCACCTGAAAATTCGGAAAATTACAGAATTCTCTACTCATTCATAAAGGATTCGTACTGTAAGAGATTAGATAAAAAACGAAATGGGAATGAATAATAGATAAACTACTAATAGCCATACCTATGGAAATTCATTCTTGATCAGTAGAATAAAGGGTGGCACAATATGTAATTTTTGTTGGCATCATCTGACGTTTGACCACGCGTTTAATCAAGACACATGTCTTTGGTTCATGAAAACACTACCTGCACACATTTTGTTAAAGCTCGACTGAGCGTGTAATGTATGCATTTCTATATATATATATATTATTGACATACAGATATTTCTTTGTCGTTGTTATCCGTGGTATGAATGAGTAGACTGATGTCCTTGATGTCAATCACTGAATTGTCTGGTCTATATTTAAATATTTACGGATCATGGTGATATAGATTCATTACTGTTGAATGCAGGTGGCACAAACAGCAACGCACAACAACATTAAACTCGACGAGGATGATGTTCTAACGTTCTGAACTTTCACACTTGTCACAAGAAATATTGCAGTGAAGAGTGTCCAGTTGATGCTTTTGAACTTCTTTTTTTCTGATCAAAGTCAAAATGTTCAGTGTCTTATGTATTTAAGAAAATATCCAATCTGCGTCGACATTCACTGTCAATCACTGAATTGTCTGGTCCATACTTAAATATGTACGGATCATGGTCATACAGATTGATTACTGACGAGTGCAGGTGACAAAAACAGCAATGTACAATAACATTAAACTCCATGATGATGTTCTGACGTTTTGAACTTAAACAACTGAGGGTTTCAAGTTACGTTCGTCGAGTAATTGCATTTAGAACACATGTGTCGTATCTAATATCTACCGTAAAGAAATTGTTCTTCTTGTGCTACTTGACCTCTCGGCGGCATTTGACTCAGTAGACCACATTATCCTAATATCACATCTCCGGTACACGTTTTGGATTACAGGAGCAGCTCTGGCATGACTTGAATCACATCATGATGAGAGGTCCATGTCCGTCCTAGTTGATAGTGTCACATCAGACAGCAATTGGTTGAAGTGTGGGGTTCCACAGGGGTCGGTTCTTGGACCCGTCCTCTTCTCAATGAACACTAAACCTCTAGGTTTAGGGATTATATGCAACTGCTGACTTCAGTTCCAAAGCTATACTGATGACCAACAACTGTACACTGGCATTAAACCCCGCAATATTTACAGCAAGAAGAGGGAGTGAGTGAGTGAGTGTAGTTTTGCGCCCGCTTTTAGCAATATTCCAGCAATATCACGGCGGGGGACACCAGAAATGGGCTTCACACATTGTACCCATGTGGGGAATCGAACCCGGGTCTTCGGCGTGACGAGCGAACACATCAAAAAGAATGTTTACAAAATTCAGAATTGGACGTCATCAAACCTCCTTAAACTCAATAGTGACAAAGCTGAATTCATGATGATCGGGACCTCACAACTCAACAAAATTGAACGCCGTGCGTTCTCAGTTGGATCATCTTCCGTAGCACCTTCCACATCTGTCAGGAACCTGGGTGTTCAAATGGACAAGTGTATATCCAGTAAGACTCAAGCCCCAAAGACAGCCAGAAACACAGACCTCAAACTTTGTACCATCGGAAATATCAAACGATACCTGGAATTTGATACCACCAAAACTCTTGTGCATGCACATGTCACTTCCCATTTGGATTAGTGCAATTCACTCCTGTCAGGAACTGGAGTCATCACACATCTACGAAGAGATGAGAATAAAGCAGCCAGGGTCATTACCCGTAGCAGACAGCATGACCATATCATACCTATCCTGAAACAGCTTCACTGGCTCCCAATCCGCAAACGTGTACCCTTCAAAATTCTGAGCCTTTCCTACTCTGCTCTTCACTGTGAGACAGCCCCGACCCACAAGAAGGAACTCCCCACTCCTTAAATTCCGCCATGAAACCTCCGGTCCTCAGAACAGTCACAGCTCATTGTCCCATGCACTGGAACTCAGCTTAATAGTCATGCCTTCTCTGTGGCAGCCCCAGTTTTGTGAAATAGTATCCATCTGGAAACTCAGTTGACTCTTTCCGCCAATCCTTGAAAACATTTTTATTCTCCAACTTGTGTGTTGTTTCATGTTTGCATTTATGTAAAGCACCGCTGGGCAGCTTTCATTTAGATATCAGGTGCTATAGGAATGCATTATTATTTTTCTTATTATTTATCAAAACTTTGCATCTAAGATCAAGATGCATTCAGGAAAGTTTCTGGTCACAAGAAATAATGCGGTGAATAATGTTCAGTTGATGCTTTTGAATCAAATGTCAGAATTGACTTATATGTAAGAAAATATCCAATCTGTGTCGACATTGATCGTAAGGGTGGCTGTTGGTGATTATTCTTGAATGAACATTGTTCAATGCCGTATCAGCTATTTTGCAGCAAGTTATTGGGACATGAACAGAATTACATGTCTATAATTAATATGTCATGTCTGCTGTGTATTGTGGCACAGCCTTCCTTTTCTCTAACTTGTTTTCAGGCATCCCTGAGTTTTAGAAGAGAGCAACGAAAGGTACCAAGGACATCAAAATCTGATAGTTATGTTTGTAATTCGAAACACGAATGCTACACTTCCACATGAATATATATGTTTAGTTAAGGATGTGTTCCTTAGAAAATGGTTGAAAGTATATTAAACTTAACAGTTTGTGTATGTTTATTCATTTACGTGAATGCCAATATTATATAATTGATGATAAAGATTGAATTGTCATTGCGTAGATTGATGATCATGCTATCACTGGATTGTCTGGTCAAGATTCGAACATTTACACACCACCGCCATGTAGCTGAATATTGCTAAATGTGCCGGCAAACAATAAACAAACAATCCACACTGGACATGCCACAACTCACACAAGAAACATATATTGCCATGTCTTTCTACAAATCAGCCCATCAGCCATGTTGAAACCAGCTGAGCACAAATGGTAGGAATGGTACCTGTTGAAGTAATAATAAATCCATGCTATGTAAGAGAGATTTAGTATCAGGATATTGATTTTTGAATTGTGCCTCATAAAGCAGAGGTGTGACTGTGATATTCAGATGATGCAATATTTTCTAGGCTGAATTTAAGCCAATAGAGTATGGGTAATTCATGACAAGGACCCAAAACATGCCAGGATCTTGACGAAACAGGAACTGAATTATGCCTGGGTTACAGTTGAAACAAAGAGACTGCCATTTGTTCTGGATATGAGATAAGGACAGCATTGGGTCCTATCTCTGCCTTGTGTGATGAAGTCTGAGTCTATATATTTATATCTATAGGTTTGTACAGAATCGTGTTAAAACTGTTTAAAGTAATGTATATGAAATGGATAAAAAAAATCAATTCTGACCAAACGTTAATGTTTTTATTGTTTATTTGAATTGTCAGTTGAAACAGCATCAACTGTCTTATTAATGTAATGATAATATACTCGGGAGAACAACTTCTTTATTTACATTGAGGAGCGACGTTTCGGTGTCGGATCAAAGACCGATATCAGGCAAATGATGTACATGGAAGCATATACACAGATCTAATGTGGTGTTTTACAATTTAGCAGAGAAGCCTGTTTAGTACACACAGCAGATCTAAGGCAAATCGGGTCCATGCAAGTGAAGCCAGTTGTGTGAACACACACATAAACAGACTGATTATGTCTGACAGGAGTCTTTGAAGAGTTGATGGCAGGTAAGTCAGAGATAAGAAACACTCTTGGTTGATGGATGGTTGGAATCTGTTTAATGTAAATGGCTTCTTGGTTGTTTTTCTCTGATAATAAGTCTTTAGGGTCGTTAATGGGGGCTTATATTTTGTCCTAGTAGAAGCTGTGTTCGGAGTTGTCACGGATATGGTCAGAGCTGATTTCGAGATTTGTTTAGACGCTTAGCTGTGATGTTCTGTTATTCGGTGGTTTTGAGGGGTACTGAGGTAAGCGTTTGATGTCTGAGCAAACGCATAAATGGTTCGTTGGTAGTTGATCTTCTCATTTCAAACATTCTGGTATGTTCGTATCTTCTCATAAGTGTTGGGAACGTCAGCAGCTTCTCTCTGTAGGGCATCGTAATCATTCCTGTCAACTGGTACTTCGTACTCATCGCCTACACCTACAAGAAATGTGTGTGGTAAGTACGTTAACAATGTCCTTCAGACACACACTCCTTCAACAGTTCAATTACCATGGTAATTTGTAGTCATGCACGTCTATCTGAATGGTGTGAGTGTTGTTTTAATGTGGTTCACTTTTACGCGAATCTGGCTTCAACATAGACAAACCAATGACCGAAAGACGAAGCATGGATTCATGCCAAGAGGAAACAGTGACACTATGACAGCAGAATCATCGAGACTCACCAGTTAGTATTCGTCAGCTTTTACACCAAGCATGGAGAACGAGAAGCATATATGTTCTTGTGTCACTACTAAAGTTCTTCTCTGTTGGACGCTTGTATTGTGATATTGTACATTGACAAAATCTGACCTTGTGTTTGGATTCCAACAGGTGCCATCACTGTGGCAGGAGCTTGTAAACTGCTGCGCTTGAGAAAGGATAAATGCCATGGTGACTCGATGCTTCAGAAACACGAGACATGATAAAGTTTATGGTCATTCTTATTATGCTGCATAGTACTTTTTGTTGTATTTTTACAGAATGAATAAGCCATAAGGTTTCAAATTTAAGTACTCTTTGTCTAAAAACAATTATCAATTTACATTTAGGTATATTTGTTACATTGTGATGAATGTTTGGAAGTATTAATTCTGGAAAAGGTGAACCTACTTAGAGAATACTGCCTTTTCTGCGTTACTGTTGTTCTTTGGTCCTGTAACAACCGAATATCAGATTAATAAATGGACAAATAAAATGGCATGCAGGGGCTACCACACATGAAATGTCCCCATGGAGATCAGCAGGAACTTCCCCCGAGCTACCAACATCCCTTTACTGTTTCTAGTTTTTTTTCGACTGTCTTGCATGGGCAGAGCTCGTCACCTGTGGACCATTTAACTGTTCTAACAAATACTCGTCACTGACGAATCCTGCAGTTTATCGATGGCCAGGTGCGTTTCCTGATATGTCCTTTTTGACCGATAGTAAGTGCTACTTTGTGAGCATGGCCGGTATGTGCTGGTTGATCACCAGTGATGGGGGGAGTTAGCTTCAATGGTCACAGACCTTGAGCAACAATAAGATGTCGCACATGTTTTATTCATCTTAGCCACATGATCGGATATCAATAGACCATTAGCGTGATGTACTCGGTTAGCATATACGCAACAGTTCAACAGTCCTACTTGTCCAAGCAGCATGGCAAGCCATTCCCTACTTTGTTTTTGGGAAGTGCAGATAAAGGTAGTCACAGATCATTAATGCTATCCCACCATTTATGACTTTATCTAATGATCCTATTGTGGTCATTGCCATCATTCATCACATGGATAACATTATTCTTGTTATAGTTTTAATGCAGTGTTCCTTACCAACATTACCATTCTCATCCAGAACCCAGTTGTGACAGCATCAAGTTTATTTCCATGGTAGAATTCATTGTTGGATCCTCATGCGGAAGTCAAAATGTTACATGATTTTCACAGATAGATTACGAACTGTTAGAACTGAATACACCTTCTTCTGTCTTGAAATATTTAAACATACCTCAAACATTATCACCAAAAGTACCTACCTGATATGCAGTTTGCTAGTTTGTCCCTGAAGACGAACGCCAAACCCAGACAGATGGCATCAACGACCAGCATCACACACACACCTATAGCCACTCCAACACCAAGAGAGGATTCCTGGTTCTCTTGGACACACGCCGCTGTCTTTTCGAACATCAAATGTATTTCTATGGCTACATGGCAGTTTAATTCATTGTAACGAAATGTTGTGACTATAACACATTGTTTTGTTACGTTTCCATAGAAGATCTAATCATTGTGTTTTGGTAATACCTAGTTGTGAGGAATGTGTTACTGTCTCTGAAAGGAGGTATGTAGACCAAGCCTAACTATATCTCACCCAGGCCATACCCTCCTTTTTTAAAAGATAGTTGGAAATGTTCTTGTAGCATATATCTCAACCCCTTAACATTTCTATTATGAGGTCCTGGAACTATTGATCAGTCCCTATATCCCATTTTCATAATTCTTCCACGAGACTGCCTTACACTGATCTTTCTCAGTACTTGAGTCACTGAATCTCCAGGCCCTGACTGAGTTACTTACAGGCCAAATTCATGTGCAAAGTATCCTTCCTTAACATCGATCTGTATGATGGACGTCAACCAAAGACGTTTAAGTACCCTTACGATAAATATATGAGTACCGATCAGTGAAACGAATGGTGGCATTAACAATTCAACCTATCTAGCTCAAATACAGGTGTGTTATCGACCAAAACTAAAGCGAACGAAACACAACAGTGGATGTGGGATTGCAATCAGACTATTAGGCAGCAATGGTGGAAAGAACAACAATGATCCAGATTGAAGGTTCAGAAAGCGAGGGAAGAATACCATTGATACCAGGATCTGTAGTACATAATTAATGGTATATGACCAGATGGTGACCAAACGAATACGTGCAAACACCTAGTTGCGGGTGCAGCAACGTGCAGCTAGCTTGGACAAACTACTGTGACTATGTGTCCCAGTCCACCCAGATGTGAATGGGTACCTCGTTAGGATGAGAATGCCACAATAACATGGTGCGCCTAGTGGCTGCAAGAGCTGTATACTTCCCAGGGAGTTGAGATTGATAAAACGACGTGCCGTTGAGATGGACATCTAATGCTCGAGGGAAAAACAAGCAGTGCCTTGAGCATGCACTCGTTGAGTGGATGTGTGCGCTATATGATTATCCTATAAGAAAACAAACTAGACAAGACATTTCCGAAGTTCACACTAGTGACGATTACGTGAATTGATTGTTGCTTCCATTCAGCTATACAAAACTCACCACATGCAGGCTTTTCTGAAGGAGTTGTAGGTCGTTGCGGTTGTTGACCTGCAAAAAATATATAACAGTTATTAAGTAAACCTGAAACTTTGCTTCTTTGTCATCCTAACATGCAAGATGTATCCTGTGCACATTTTAGTTCATATGTGTAGCACACTTAGAATATGGACTTGATTTAAGCAAGGTCAACAACGATTTCTTAACACTGTAGTAATAGCCTTCCTATTTGAATGTTTGTCGTCCTGGACCCGGTTGTATCAAACTTTAATGAAGCATTAACGTGCCATTAAACGTTCATTAACTAATGTATCATTAAATTCTGTTGTACTAACGTTTTAATGACGTCGTGTTGTCATTAGCGCGTCATTAACTTAATGAAGGTCCTGGGGTATCATTAGAGCGTCATTAACACAAACATGGCTGCCAACATATTATTTGAGCGCTTAGGACGCAAAAGGAAAGACCGTGTTTTCAGACAACGAACTCAGCACCTCGAATCAATGACCGAAGAGGAAGTTCGAGCACGCTATCGTTTTGGGAAGCCGAGCATCCGATATATCTGCGATCTCGTTAGAAATGAATTACAACCACAATCTGCAAGATCTCACGCACTGAGTGTTGAACTACAGGTGAATGTTTCATAATTATTACATCGTTATTAATATCTCAGAAACGTTAATTTGGTTCAAAAACATCATACTGTTCATAGCGTCATACCCCAGCCTCCATGGACAACCTAGTTTTGCGTATAATTGCACACTACCGTGCGTGCTGGTACAGACACATCTGTTAACATATTACCCAGTATATAAAGAAACTAACCTTGTGAATATAATTCACGACTGGAACTCTTGAAAAAGCATGGACCAGTTTCACTTCATACCAGAAAGGATACGCTTTCAGTCAGCCATGATGAATGTAATAAAGGGGAGTCACTCTAAAGACGTGAGGTAAATGAATCGTGCACACTGAAGTGAATACTTTTGCGTGTTCGATCCCAACCTTGAGACGTTGTTATTATTATTGAATCATACACGTAGCCATAATTACCACTTTACTTACTGAAACGCAGCGAAATAGATAATAACGTTGATATCAGCTTTCTAGAAATATATAATTTTTGGTGAAGCGTGTCATAAGCCTCTGTTTAACCATTTTATCAGGTTCTGGTGACTCTACGCTTCTTTGCAAGTGGAAGTTTCCTGCAAATCACTGGCGATACAATAGCGATAGACAAATCAACAGCTTCACGAGTTGTTAGGAAGGTTTCACTTGCCATTGCGTCTCTCATGCCAAGATTTGTTACCTGGCCGTCCGAGAGTGCTTCTGGAGACATAAGAAAGGAATTCTACAGTCTATCCAGATTTCCTGGAGTCATTGGATGCATCGACGGGACACATGTTCGGATACAGGCACCATCAGACAACGAACCTGCCTATGTCAATAGGAAGGGTTACCATTCTATCAATGTTCTAGCGGTGTGTGACAGCCAAGGTGCGTTAGTGTTAGGATAAATTATGAACAGATACCATCGTAAGCCCAGCGCATTTCATATAAATGTACATGTCTTTCCGGCCTTATAATAAAGAAAATGCGTTTCGAACATGACACCATTTACAATGATGATCGAAGTAAGCGTCTTAAAACAACATTGTGATGATAAGCTTTCAGCATTTGCTTTTTGAGGCCGAGCTCAGCACTTTTCTAGCTATTTCGCAGTGGTTGCTATATGCACTTGGTGCAGTGATTCCACATAGTTATACTAAAATTGATCGTTTTGTGTATTTGTATAGGTAAATTTACTAACGTAGTGGCGAGATGGCCAGGCAGCACGCATGACAGCCACGTGTTCAAGATGAGCAATGTACGGCAACACCTTGAAACTCATCATACCACTCTACAGGATGGTGTTATTCTCGGTGACAGTGGATACGCATGTCGTCCGTATTTGATGACGCCGTATCTAAAGCCATCTACTCCCGAGCAAGAGCGCTTCAACTCTTCACATAAACGAACACGGTCAACTATAGAACGGGCATTTGGGTGGCTCAAGAGGCGTTTCCATGTTCTCCACGGAGAAATCAGGATGTGCCCAGAGAGAGCTTGCACCATCATTGGTTAGTATACTTACTACAGACAAAGTTTTAAAATAAAGTGAATTAAGAAATTAAATACTGATAAAATATTTGGTTTTAAAGCCTATTAACAGGCCTAGACAGCTAACACAGTGCAGCTTTAAGACGAATCTCATTATATTTGACAGGTGCTTGTGTCGTGTTGCACAATCTTGCGATAATTCTTCGTGAACCCATGTTGGATGTTGATGCAGAGGACGACAGTACCATAGAAGGGCAATACACAGGTCCTGAAGATGGTCGAAGCATCCGCGATTACATCACAAGACACTATTTCACTCACTGAAATGTTCAATCTGCCAAAACTGTAATATTACACTGGAGAATGGAGCGTGACTTTATGTTCTATCTGAATAGTATATTCAACTGTGATGGTGATAACATAGTTCGCAAGTGCCCACAAACTTACAATTAGAGAAAATGTTTGGACAAAATCTATTGTCTTCAAAGGAGTATCGTACTCCGAGCTTTGTTTACCCTTGTGTTATATTACAGTATAAATATATTTTCCTGTGTGTAGTGCCAATTTCACCTCAACGGTGTCAACTCATGGTTTTACGAGGCTTTTAGCAATATTCAAGCAATATCACAGCAGGTACTCCGGAAATGGGCTTCACACATTGTACCCATGTGGGGAATCAAACCCGGGTCTATGGCGTGACAAGAGGGCAATTTAAACATTAGGCTATCCCACCGTCCCTCCATCCTTTAAGAACATCCGACAATCTATATTAGTAAAGTTCAACTGACAAGATACGATGTAGTTTTCCTACTGCAAAATAGAGAACACAGTGTAGCAAACTATGGAAATAACTGTTGAAGGAACTGTTTTAATATTTCAAACATGAACTTGTCTTTTTCAGTTATCGCTCATCATGTAATCCAGCTCCATTCTGAGCTTCTTGTTCATTAGTTCATAGTAGGTTGTCTGCTGCATAATTTTCTTCTTCTGCTCAACCAAGACCTCATACTGAAGTTGGGTGAGGTCATCCGCTCTGATCTTCCTTTTGCGGGGGACATGCCTGGAAGTATCCGCGGTCGGGATCATACGCCTGAAGTCAAAGAAAATTGCTTTGCATCATTGAATATAGGGAACATACAAGTCCCCGTATGTATGCGCTGAGTCTCTCCGCTGTATATGGTTACGTTAAATGCCACTGTTGACAAATTAAACGGAATGTAAATGTAGAAAACTGTTGTAATTCATAAAATTTCCAATTACGACATACTCTTCCATGGTTTTTCTTTCGTCAGGTGTAGGTGTTTCCCTTAGCTGTGAGCTGGAACAGCTGGGCACAGCGGCTTCCTGACTAGAGATATCGCCAACATCTTCAAGAGCATGTGCCAGGAGATTTAGGGTTGAAGGGGAGCCGATTATTTCTGCGACCGCAGTATCTGTATTTAAAGAAAGCTAATTGTTCACTTGACTACAGTACTTCCCATTGTGACGATAAATAGTACATACAATATGAAACTAGACGAGAGGTATACACCAACCAACAGTTAAGGGACACAACTCTGTTGTGCTAAACTTACGGCATTTGTCATTCGGATTTTGTTCTTGCGAAATTTATATATAAAGAAAGGTAACAAATTTCATTGTGTTCGGAGTAACATAACATCACTATTTTCAAAGATTTAGTTTTCCCAAATCATGACAAGTGATGAAATCTTGTACGAAAAAAACCCCACCGAATCTTCCGTCCCAACAGGCAAAATATTTATGATTGTGCAAATGTGTTATGTTCTTTTGAGTTTGGTACCGGAGTTATTATAACTGGCCTCATAACAAAATGAAATTATTTAATTTATAAACTAATGATACGCTACTTGTGATAGCATGATAGCAAGTTGATGGCATGATTTTTAAAAATCTTAAACCAGGTAAGCAACAACACCATTGCTGTTGTGATACATTGTTTCTGGTTATTTTCGCTGTCTTCTTGAGGAACTCTCAAACAGATATGAAAGTGTTACAGAAAACTTTTATTTGAAGATGAAGAATGTTAATGATCTCAGGGAGATTTGAACTTAGCGTAGATAGACACAACATGAACTGTATATTATGGTTTGGAATATGGTGATGAGAGTTGCCCCCCTTTCCGTTTCACAATGGCTGCCGTTCGGAGAATGAATGAGTGATGACTTAAATTGTAACAGTGCAGTTTTATCACAAAAGGCAGTTTTACTGAATGAGGAGTAACAGAAGGTCGGTTGGTGTTTGTTGTTTGTTTTTTAACTTATCTTGATAAATGATCATCAAATACTTGCAGTATCCCATTGCCGATCGCCATGCTCAATTACATTTACAAGATCATATATTTGCTGTATGATGAAAGGTAGTGTTAACACTTACAATATAATGATACTTTATTGAATTAATGCGACATACCCATTGGCGTGACTAAATCATAGGATTCGATCCCCGTGAGTCCAGTGAAACTGGGACAATCTTTATAAATATCCACTATCTTCTCACTCGTCGTTGATAGTGGGGCAATACAGGGTCCTCCTCCGGTCTTCCTCATGTCCAGCTGTCTTGAACTGTATTCTTTTTTGGCCGTCTGGTGCATATTTGTCCATTTTGTTTTGATTTCCTTCGTTGTTCTCTGGCAGACTCCGAGGGCGTTAATTTTTGCTGTGATGTCTGCCCAGATTGCTTTTTTCCTTTCGTGGGTAACTGTGCTGCATAGCTTGCTGTTTAATATTGAGATATGTTTCTCAACAAGCTCCGCCAGCAACTGAACTTCAGAGCTGTCGAAATTTTTGTTTCTGTTACGAAATTTAGTCGGTAACGATGCCATTTTGACAGACGACAGGAAGCAACGCGTACTTGTTTACGTTAGGGAATTGTGGGAAATATTTAGGGGAATCCCCGAAAGTAATGACAACATTAACATTAGGACGTCATTA